GTATTTATATTTTATATAAATATAAAAATATTATTCCTAGCTTTACGAAGTTAGCAGTTAGTAGAACAGGAGGCAGAGGACTACTGTTGGCCTCAGACAGTCTTTGTTACTTTAAAAAAAAAAAAAAAAAAAACACCATAATGCTGAGGCTTATGCTGACACTGAGAACCAAATCTTCAATTAATGACATTTCAAAGTTGATAAATAGCACTGTTCTGTACAGAAAAATAAACATAAGCCTTGGAATAGGCAAAAAATCCTTAGGTATGTCAAAGAATGGAAAAAATAAATGACATGCTTCAGTGTCTGAATATCAGTATGGAGGAGGAACACAGAGAATTAATTTAAGCATTGGAAGTTAAGTGTATAGGGCCTGAGTCACCCCTGCAGACTTACACCAGCACACTTAACAGAAAGCAGATTCTGAAAGAAAACGTTTAGCACATGGGCAAACTGTCTCACTAGGTAAACATAAGTAATACCAGCAAAACCTGAGTATATTTTGGGAGACCATCAAAATGCAGAAAGACTGTTGGAATAATGGAGCCTTTGACACAACTCTGGCGCACACTCCACATGGCAAAAGAGCATTGCTTGCATTGTTAGATCAACTCGAGAATTTCTGCAGAGGTGGACTTTTTGGCTTAACTAAAACAGTTCAGTTCCACCTTTGCAGGTTCATCTATCCCTGGTGCAGAAAGACCCAGTTGCACAATAAATCTAAGCTCCATTGTTTTTTAGTTAAATATCTTTAAGAAAAAAAAAATAATTGGCTGAACTATCCCCATTCTCCTCAAGCTCTCAGTACTTTTCCACTGCTGCAGTGCCAGGAGCTGGGAACAGCAAAAGCTGATCAACTGCAGTCTTCCTTGCCATGCAGTTCAGTGTTGCTAGGTATAGACTGCTTACTTAAAAACAAACAGATTAAAAAGCAGTTGTATAAATAAAGCATCAGAAAGGGGAGGGGGAAAAAAAAAAGATATGCTGACAAGCTAGGCTCTGGGCTTGTTCTCTTTTTAAACACATTTAAGTGAGTTCACTTCAACAAGATGCCACCTGTTGATTTATATCATTGTAAAAGCATGAAAAGCAAACTCGGTCTCATGGAGAAGACAGGGAAGGTTAAGTGCATTCCCTTGTGCTGGCCTTTTGCTACTTTACACAAGAATAAAACTGCATGTCCTCTTGTACAACTACGTTGTTTGCAGTTGCTGGTATATGTGACTGCACAATATTAGCACTTCATGAAGGTATTCAAATAAATTAGTGAGACTCTTAAAACAATGGACAAAGAAGGAAATAATTCAGGAGCAAAAGGAAGGAAGAGATCAGGAATCCCATGCAGCAGCAGAATGACAGATTTGTCAGCTGCACTAATCAAGTACTCCTTATAAGCAGTAATTTGCTGCTCCCAAGCCACTGCTCAAGGGGTTAGCACCACTCTGAAATTAAGTTATTTTACCTATACAGCCGGTAGCAAAGATTATAATGTCATCAGTGAAAGAGGAGGAGGGATTCATATAAAGCTGACTTGGCAGCCTGGAAGCCACTTTGTTTCTGCCATGGCAGGGATCAACAGGAGACAATACTTAATTCTCTGTCTTCACAAATAATTTTCCTTTGTTAAGATCAAATGTGCAAGAAACCTCATGCCCTTTGCTTCCACTGGCACATGGAAAAAACCATCTGTTTCTCAGGGGAAGAATGAAATCTCCTCTCAACTTACACTGTGATGCTCAGGAGACAAACTGTTTCCTGTCCCTTGGCACAAGAGGATTCTGCAAATAGCAATGTGCAGGCACCTCCCTGCACACAGCAAGGTGCTGGAAGAAACACGCTGTAGCTCCTCTAAGAAGGAGCAATGTATGCACACCTGTCTTCCCAGATTGCCATTAATACTAGCAAATTGCACAATTCCTGGTTGGATGGGGGACCACACACAACTATTCCCATGCAGACAGACTGTATCCCCCGTAAAGCTGGTGAGTCCGCTGGGCCACAAACTGGATGTCTGTGGATCCTGGCGAGCGTGATGCCAAAATAATGCACATTCAGCCTCATTCAGCCTATAGGCTCGGTCCTATGGGTATCTGCCAACCCCAGCGCTGCGTGCAGACATCACCTTGCTGAGAACAGACTCCTCAGTAGCAGCAGTACTGAAGGATCAGGGAGGTGGATTAGAGGACGCATGTGTGATTTGAACAGCAACAAGTTCTAGTGACTGTGACCTCAAAGGAGCATTAGGGGGATCATTTACCACAGACAAAGACATACAAAGATGCACTTAGAAAAAAATGCTACTATACATACCGGTCTGCCATGAATGCTTTCGTAATACAGCAAAGCTTTTTGAAGAGCCACTTTTTCAGCTGCTATCTGATCTCTTGTCATGTCCTATGAAAAGTAGCACAGAGAGAGCAGAGGAGGAAAAAAAAGTCAGATTCCTGGACTCAAACAATACTGATCTGTGGCCTAACCAAAGTCATATCATTTTGTCATTAACGTTTTGAAGACTCATCTCTGCCTTCCAGTCCTCTTTTCCCAGCTATATTGCCAAAGAGACTGTTAACGTGAGTGGCAGTGTCCTATGCACAATGCAGGCAGATTAAAACCATATAAACTTTGCATATGAAGGTATTTTATGTACATAAGGGGGATTTATTGATTATCAGTGTGCTTTGAAAAAACAATGGTATGCAACTTTTAATGATAGTGGCTCTTTTTCAGTTAATATCCAAAGTGTAAATTTTGCAACAAAACACATGTTCTTTCTTTTTCTCCAAATCTGAGACAAACTCCAGTACCTCTTGCCATCTTTGCTTTGACTGCCACAAACATACTTTACCAAGAACTGAAGCGCAGTCAGTCCGTCTCCTTCTGCCAATTCTGCTATGGATTGAAAAGCTCTGGCAGACAGGCTGAGCGGACCAAGCCAAAAAACAAGGGCAGACAGTTGGAAACAACTTCCCTAAGTTTGCCAGAGTTCCTCCACTGAACTTGCCTGACACTGAGCCTTCTCTCCCTATCACAGCACCAAATATTACCACAGGCCCTCTTTAAATGGCCAGGCTGTAGACTCTTGCTCCGTCAGAAAACAGTGAAACACACACTGCGTGTATCTTCTACTTCTGCAGATCTAGTAAACAAAGATAATGCTGTCTGCCCCCCTCTTGCAAAGCACTGCACAATTTGCATGTCAGCACACTCAAGGACTTCACTCACAAGGCTGCCCAAACCTCAGGAACTAGCAACATCAGACACAAAGACCTCCCTGCTGATAACCCTCAGAGATTACAGCAGCTTACAGAGCTCAATGTGAAACTCTAAAGAGCAGCAGTAAAATGCCCTGAGAGAAGAGCATTCAGCTTTAGAGTGAACTACAAGAAAACAGATGACCCAATCTCCAGAATCACTGGAAGACTCAGAATTTGCCAAAAGCCTTTGGACATAACAACAGAAATAGCCAAATACAGAGCAGGAAATATTGCACTAATTCAGAAACATTACCTGGAATATACAAGGATCAGAAAAAGAACACACAATGACATTCAACAGAAACCAGGCTCTGGAAAAAAAGAATCAGATACTAACAGCAGAGGGAAAGAAACTAAAGCAAGTGAGCCAGGAGTAAGGGTTGTAGACTTTGCGACAGAACATAGAAGACCACAGGGCTTTCACAAGCGACTGTGCAGCCACAAGTTACCTACTTGTACTTAGAGGCCTAAATCTGATCTGTCTACATTGTACCTTAATATCTTCAGGTCGGTTTGTCTCCATTCGTTTTTCTTGAAGCTTCTTCTGGATAGAATCAAGAGTCGCTTCCACAGCAGGCTTGGCAGATTTATCTGACACGTCTTGCTTCTTCTCATCATCCTTTTCGAGCTGAGAGCCGAAGCTCTTGGGGAGCGTGTTGCTCCGCTGACGCACAACAGGGCCAAGGTCTTCCTCCGATATCTTCAGTTTTGACTCTAAACAGGGACATTTAGGAGAAGAGGCGTAATTTTTCTTTTTTAAAATGTGACAGGACAGGATCACTGCCTAACATAAAAATTAAATAAGGCAGAGTCCAGCTGCCCCCCGAAGGTGCACTAGCAGTGGCTGCTCACCTTTAAGTTGCTTTCGGAATTTGGCCAAATCATTTGTCCATTTGAGCACTTCAGGGTTGGCTGCTTTGTCGCTGTGGGAAGGCTGGGAGGAAAGAACAGTCATGCTGAATCTGTGTTAAACCAACAGGAGAGACCAACTGAAACAAGCGTGTGTCACAAAAAGAGGTACAACAGAATTTGGACACAGCATAGAGCATGGGCACTGGCTTTTGACTGGCACCTGCATACCTCTGACCAGCTCATTTCAGACCTTACTTTAATTGCTCCTGCCTGTCACAACATTGTCTCTTAGGGGCATCATGAGATTGATCTTCTTTTTAGAAAACACAAAAGTGTCGATGGCAAACATGAAGTTGTAGGAGTGGTTCAGAGGGCCAGATGCACAGTGGAATCCTTGTGCCTACTGTTTCCTAACAAGAGGACACCTCTGAAACAGAGGAAGCCTAGCATGAACAGTTTGAGAAGTGTTAGGATGCACGTATCCACACCAAAGGCTGCCTTACATCCAAAGACACCGAAATAACCCAAATGCTAGGCTACAGCAAACTCGGAGCATTTCTTCCAGCCTTTTCTACTGCAGGCAAGATCCTTTCAGTACAATCCTTTGTGGTTTAGATCACCAACAAAGATGCACACATGCAAAGCTTTAGTTCCTTAAAAAGCTTTCTGTGCATCGGAAGGGCATGTCAGGAGTAGTTAGAGTACAGTACACTGCTACTGCTCAGCAGCACTTGACTGGGGTTGCTTGCTCAGGAGTAAAGGTGGCCACTCTCTCTCCTCTGCAATGCACTGGTGTCCTGGGATTACCACCATGCAAATGAGATGTGCAACTGTGCTTCCCATAAGCTGAACTTAAATAAATAAACAAACAGAAGTTTAACATAGCTATTCCTACACACTGAGTGTGTGCTTTTGGCACACTGTCTTAAGCACTGATCAAAATCCTGTGAGTTTATTAGGCTCTCTCTTGTGCGGCACTGATTAGTACATAACGCCTGGAAAGGTAATTTGCTTGTTTTGGATGCACATTTTCATTTTCTGGGCAGCAGCTTTCTTGTTTTCTTTCCCCCCCCCCCCCCCCCAAAAAAAAAAAAGCTTTCAGGCCCTCTGTCTGTTTGACAGACTTACCTGATGTCCCTTCCCTTTGTTGCTAATGCATACCTCTCCATACAAATGCTTAAGTCCTAGAGACTCACTCTGTATTTCCTCTCCTCTTCGAATTTGTCCTCAAATCTCCTGATCTTTTTCTTCAGTCCCTGAATCCTCCGGGTGAGCTGTGCAGGGGTAAGGTCCTCTCTGTCATCTTCGTAAGATCCCAAAGATGAACTCCGCCTCCTACCAAGAGCAGAGATTGCAGGAAGAGCTTATCCAAACAGCCACAGTACATCTTCATGCAGAGAAGGCCACTTAAACTTTGTGTAAATAAAGGTAAATCCCTCAGAAGTGAGAAAGTTATGCTGCTACTCTGTAATGAGATAGCAAAAGATGCTGTAACAGCCCCCTTCAGCAACAGCAACTCTTCAGATATTAATTCACAAACCCAGAAACGATTAGTTACCAAGAACTTTTCTAAAAATATCAGTTTCCCACCAGCAGGAACACAAACCCAACACAGCATAGCTATCCGGCATATGTGATCAAAAGAGATGATGCAACTGTGCAAGCCCTTTACAGCTGGGTACGAGAGTCAGCGCAGGCAAATCATAACCCACCTCATGAAGGAATGAGAATTGGGAGGGGAAGGAGGCACTTCTGTATCATCCAGGTACTGTTGGCTCTGTCCATAGGCATAGAAGCGAGGGGACAGCATAGGATCACTGTCCTCATCCAGGAGCTGGCGAATTAAGCGACCGGCCTGCGGGGAAAGGCGAGCCTCATCTGAGTCTAAGCCGTCTCGCTGCCATGAGGAAAGAGCAGGGATGGGCTCTGGGAACAGTAAGACAAAGGCTGGTTTTATTGTTTTTGTTTTACATGTACGACAGACTCCAGGCAACTTTTCTAATGAACCCTGACCCGTCTGTCCTGGACCACGATTCCTTGTCGTCAGGCATTCTCTGGGTCATTGCTTGCATCTGCCCAGTGTGCAAAGTAATGCAAAGCATTGCCTGGCCACAGTGGGTACTCTACACAAACATACATAATTTCATAGGTGCAACAGAAAACTGTACCCAAAAGTTGGCCAGTAATTATCACCAAACGAGGCTATCATCAGCCGGCACCTTTGAGGAAAAAGTTATGCTGGACAAGAGAGAATTATTGGCACATGGCAGTATAAAGGAGGCAACTGGATTACAGGAGGATTTTTTTTCAGTTTCAGGATGTACAAATACTGTAAGTGAATAGCATGTTAATTGTTCTCCCATAGCCTCCAGCACTCCAATACGACCCTGCCACCCACTATTGGAAATTCGAAGACTAGGAGTAAGCATAGGTTCTTCTAGTCTGCAAGGAAAAGGCGCCTCACATTACCACCTGTTCCACAGGTTGTCTAGCGTGTAAATTAACAATGATGGTAATATGGTCTGAGTTTCCCCCTTTTCTCTTTCACATGCAATCCTGCTGCTTAACAGCATGGTAGAAAAGTGAGGAAATCTTCAGTCCCCTGGACGATCTAACCAGCTGGAAGTAAAAGCAATGTTCTACAGGGACATGGTGGAGTGAGAGAGAAAGGGAAACCCAGCTTAGCATTGCTGACTAGCATAGCAGAGCCCATGGAAAGCAATCACCTCAATCTTGTGATCACTCCCTCCAGATGCCATAAGGAGTCTAACGTTTTGTGTTCAGATAGTTTACTAAGCTGATTTGCATGCTCCTACTTAGCACGACAGGATTAGACAGTTTAAGAGCCAGGCTTTGAACTTACAAATCTAACAAATAGTTCTAGAGTCAAGTAACAAAACAAAAACCTTATAGAAAGCTCCCAGACCAGTCACAGAGCTATGGACTCATTATTGCCCCATAGTGTGTCTACTCTTCTTCCACGAAAAGAAGGGGCTTTTGAAGTTACCAATTTTTGAATAAAAAGCAGTATTTCTTTTTGCTGAACAAGGTTAACGTTTTCATAGCTCAGAATGGATTGCATGAGGACTCCCTCACAGAACCTCTATGCTGTTTAATATTCCCCATGTACAATTTGGACAGCGCAAGATCATCGTCTTCCCTTCTTCCTCAGCACATGAATATAAATGGAACGCCTCTGCTTAGAGGTGGGTGCTGCGTGCAAACTGATGCATTGCTCTGAAAGGGATGGCTGAGGTTTTTGCATAAGAGCCTCTCACAGGTGTGATAAGTGAAGCACGTACAAGCCTGGCTCGCAGAGGCTACTTTGATGAGGTGTGCAAGTCCCAAGTGTATGTAGGCTCTTTTGCCATGGATTGGAAAGCTTATGCAGCCTGCGCTTCTCTCAGTTAATTTCTGGAACAACAGTTTTTTTCTAAGCTGTGTTCAACCTTGCCAGTTCCTAATACCTGAAATACTTTGTCCAAGGAATCTAGTAAGAAGGAAGGTGAAATGAAGGGCAAACCCTTCAGCCAAACTGCGACACTTTGGTGTCGCACACTTCCCTGAATCTCTCATGATTTCAGGAAGGTCCTCACAAGATCTCTTGTAGCAAAATAAAGGCTAATAAAACAAAAGGAACAAATTTGATACGTTTGACTAGCAGGAATCAGGTT